TGACCGCGAAGGAGTCGCTGTTGTACGAGATGTGGGTGATTGGGTAGCTGGTCGGGGAAGGAATAAGCAGCTGGTTTTTGAAGGTCTTCCAGTATCGCTGCTCCGCTGTGATGGGAGTTGGGCCTGATGGCAGCTTAAGCTGCGGTAAAGGTCCCACCTGCGCCGCCATTGTCACTGTCTTGCCGCGATTTCTTGAAAGATTGGATCTGGCGGTTTACGGTGGTGGTTGGACAGAGCATCTAGGAAACTTTTTTTTGCTTCCAATGCCGATAAGATAACGAGGCTGTGGGGTTCCTGGCACTATTCCTCGTTAGGAAAGGAACAGCAGCTCGAGATTGAACCGTCCAACGACAGCGACCCACTGCAAGTTCTCAGGTCCTCGCGCAGTTATTTATCACCAACCAGCATGGAAAATAAGAATAGTCAGAGTATATGCCGAAGCAGTTTCTATTCGTATGTCTATCATCCTCCCCCATGTTTTCTAATCGTCATTGAAATACCTGTTGTATGACCCTCCCCTACCTTACCCAAATTGTGTGAAAACCGAGCGCCAGAAATATCAGACCTAAACCTCCCCCTTCCTTATAGCCTAGAATCAAGACGTTGAAAAAAAAAAGAATGATACAAAAGTTCAACGTCGCCGTTTATATTATTGCTTTAGTAGCCCCCATGTCGGCGTGACCTACCTGTGCCAATATCGATAGCTTGCATTTCGTGGACCAGAGCCAAACACTCGGCCCCTCCCCCATTGGCACCACTCATTACTGGCAACGGAACTTTTGCTGGAATTGGAGGTGCAGAGCCTTGACGAGGTGCGTAGTTCTCATTTTGATGTTCCCAGTGGCTCATCCGCTGCCCACCACGGGTTGGGGTATATTGTCCAGGGCGATCCTGGTAATTGTCTGGGCCAATAGGCGCCAAAGGACTTGACCCGCCTTGTATATAAGCCGCTGAAGTCCTATTTGACTTCTTTTGCAGTCTGTTCCTTCCGGGAGTGACTGTTGTTGTTACAAGCTCCTGTGGGCCATAAGATAGACGGGGTGCAGCTGGCGGCTGCGAAGGCCGTGCTGCAATACGGAGTTGTCTCCTTCCACTGGGTGGCATAGGTTGTGCGCCATTCGGGGCTGGTCTGGACCGTGCGTCAGAAGATTGCTGCTTGGACTTCGATTCGGGCTCAGGAGCCCAGGATTCGACCGGAAGGTGATCAGAAGGATCGACTTCCTTCCCATCGTGTGTGATAATCCGAGCATCCGGGTCAGGGCCCGAGACATCGTCCTGCGGCGGCGGAAGGTTTGAGTTGAACGCATTGAACGAATCAGGTCCAAATGGCACGTCCGAGACCCTTCTAGAATCTGATGGAGGTGGCGCTGGGCTCACAGACTTCCTCCTGATGGCGTGATTGGTGTTTGGGGCCGGATTTGGCGAAACATTCCGAATCCTGGTCAAAGCCATCTCGGAGCCACCGGAATAGGTGATCTCGGAATGTCTCTCAACAGGTCTCTCAGCCTGCTGAGAATCGAAACTGTATCCATGGTTGGGCTGGTTGTGGCCGTACGATGGTGGAGGTTCGGACATATGGCGACCCCTTGTTGTGGGAACTAGTGCACCCTGGTAGCTCAGTCTGCGATCTTCATATCGCTCTTCTTGCATGCGATCTGAGATCTCACGAGCCACGTTTGGGTCAACGCCAGGTACCAAAGAAGGGGGCATATCGGCGTGCATATCAGCGTGAGCATAATTTGATGAGCTTACTCGCTGGAGGGCCCATTCATCAGGATTTTCAAAACGAGTCTGGCTGCTGTTTGAATTTCCGTAAAATTCACGACCAGGACTAGTCGAAAATTCCCTTCCTGTATAGGAGGAGCTCTGTATCTGGTAGCCATGCTGAATTTCATTCGTGGAGGCCCTGGGTCGAGGAGAAGGCGAATTTCGCGGCGTAACCCTCAAATTTAAGGGCGCTGGACTTGGAACTTTTTCGTAGCTATGGTGGTAATCCTCCTCGTACCCAGGTGCTGGTGCGTTATACCTATAGGTGTCATGCTCATAATGGCCTGTCGGCGACTCTGGAACATCTTCCACAGTTGCTTGCATGTGCCTATTGTGGGGATCATAGGACGGGTCATAAGAGTACTGCCTTTGAGGTGGTACATCGTATTCGATCCTGTTGTAGTGCGCCACTGCATTCACCGCTGCTGGTGCGGAATCATGGCCACGCATTGAAGGTCTACCCGAATTTGCAGGCATTGAGTATCTATGGGCTTCACTCTTCAGCACATCGTATCGCATGGGCATAGGAGACGTTCCCTTCTGAGGAGGCGAATCGTAATTGTTGCGATAGCCAATCTCCTGGGGTCCGACACTCTGCCGTGTTCTGTGGGCTGGAGGAGGCGGCGGTCGTTCATCATCGCCCGGGCTTGCGAACTGCAGTTGATTGGGCTCGCCCATATGTAAATCATGGTGCTCCCGTCGAGGAATGCCCCGGGGTTCAATAGATTGAACGATCTGTCCTGATCCGTAGTCTCGGTCGGCAGGATGGCGAGGAGAAACATCGTAGGAATCAACAGGACGGCTTGGTTGCCGATCCATCCGAGAAGGGCCGCTTGGTGATGGGGAATACTGGTCCGGAGGTGCTTGCCGATATCCAGATGGCGGGGTGTTGTACTCTGCGCCCGGAGCGGGAGAGTTGTTTGATGAATATCCTGCATGAGACTGGTGTCTACCATGGGATCGTGGTGGAGTTTGATACTGGTCAGGCACTGGAGGTACTCGTTGCTGCGCTGGGGATGGAGCGGCGGCGGCCGGAGAAGGGGCCTCTCCTGTGACGGGATCTGACGGTAGAGGTCGACGCTTCACGGGGGTTTTCTGCTTCATAGAGCCGCCCTCCATATCGGGGGCAGCAGCCTGCACTCTGGGTCTAGCAGCAGGCTTTTCAGGCTTCGGTCGGGAGTCGTAGAATGTGATTTCCATCCGGATCTCGCCAGCATACTTCCCTCGGCAGGTTAGAGTCTGCCACATATCATTCTGACCACCGCCGGGAACAATAATGCCCTTGAGGTCGATCCATGACTCTCCGATCAAATCTGTCCTCTTATCGTCCGTAAATATCGACATCTTCAATTGGTAGTAGTCAGGGCCGTCATGGACTGTGAAGCGCAATTCCTGGTCCCTACATCGGAAACGTTAGAGATCAGCGGCATTAAGACTTCCAATGTCTGCTTGTTTCTAGCATACTGCTGGGCGGATGAATACTTACCATTTTGGCGTTTGGCCACCACGAACGTCTGTTTTCGTCTTTTTGGCCTCTTTCCCCAGCCTCGCAGCGCAGTAAGGGTCCTGCTTCCCGATTGTTTTCCTGTTGGGCAGGTTCTTTGCTCGATCAACAATGAGCACCAAGGTGCCGATTTCGGGGCCGTCGACAGACATGTCTGCGAAGATGCCGGCTGTGTGAGCTCCATTGAGGACGTGTGCTTTCGTTGGGGATGCCATTGTTATTAAACAGCCGGTCGCAACGAGCTGTGAAGGTTCAAGGTGGCAGCTTTTTTGTTTACATAGGCGTTAGTCGCTTGGGTCCGCGGGGTGACGGCTTTAGCGTGGAGGGAGTGAGTGACGTTGTGCTGGAATGAAGGTGGGCAAGTCAGTAAAGAAAAGATGAAGTAAAAAGAACCGACTCCCTCTCTCCTCCAGGAATGTAAAGTGTCGAGTCCGATGATGTCCAGAGAAAGAGAGACTGGGTTGGTTAGGAAATTGAATGGGATGAGAAGGGAGAGGTGGTGGTTGCACCCTGGGTGATGTTGTGCAGCCGCTTTGCATACACTATTGGAAGAGCGCTGTGTTCCGATGATAGCAGGTGCTGTACCCTCCAACGGGGCGTGGCTGGGGAGCTTAGTCGAAGCCCCTACACCAGGATGACAGTGCCCTAGCAGGCGGTGGCTGGGCCGCCCAGCTTGCCATAGAAACGGGGGGCTGGGGTTTATTGACCAGGATCCGGGCTCTAAACACTGTTCTGAGCCTCGCGGACGCGCTTACCCCTGTAGTTCATCGGCCAGTGCCTGGCATCATGCTGTTTACAGCCTTCCCAGCCCACTTGGCTCTCCACTATTGAGACTCCGATGAATCAAGATCTGGGTATTAAGAGGTGCCAATTATGGATTCCATGATAATAATCATAATATGCATCAATCATGTTACAAACTAGCTCCTTGCCCATCAGGAGAGCCGGCATTAGCTTTCAGGGCGAGGTAACGAGGGTAGAGCTCCAGCCATTGGCATCCCCCTTGAGGGCGCCCCGTCTGCTGAAACGGTGAGTGCTTACTCCTTACCTAGCCGTCGGCAGCGTGCAGCCCAGCGCAGGCCACAGCCACAAGTGGTGCGAGTCTCCTTGATGATCGCATCCCCACGGATCGTATTGCGCAGGAAGAAGTGGTCTCTAGTCCCCACCTCTCCCTCAGTCACGTTCATGCACGCATTGAATTTTCTAGCGCTTCTCTGGCCAGTGGACAAATAAGGTTGCCATCGGCAACTTGGCGCGATGGCGCAGGGCATTCGGCTTGCGACGCCTCGGCAGCAACTCCCGATCTTCGTCACCACTAAACAATAGAGGGCATGTCAAATTAGCAAGAGAGACAGCAATCAGTGTGGGCCGGACATTGATGGATAGCAAATTCCCCGATGCAATCGACGTTACACTGTCCTCCCAATGCCCAACCAAGTAAAGCAAGCTCATGAGGCCCGACTCGAACCTATGTAAACAGGGGAACACCCTGATTGCTGGGTTACCACGGATACGCCAGCACGATTCGTCTAACAATGAGGAAACATCACGTCCCACAAGGCAGTAGTATCTAGTTCTTGCCAAGAGCTGATAGTCAATGCATCGCCGTTCCAGTTACGTCAGGTGAAGACAAGCGACAAAAGCGGTTTCCATCATCCCGAGACATCCCGGAATAGTTCGTATGACTGTTAGACCTCCAATTTATCTCTAACTACAAACAACTCACTTTCTACCAATCGCAGCTCTTGGCAAGTAAAGCGGCAAGATCTTCCAAATGCTTCTTGTCCACCTCATCAAACCCATTCAGCTCGGCACAGTCAATGTCAATAATGGCCACGACTGTCTTTGACTCGCCGGCAATGATGGGGACAACGATCTCGCTCTTACTGTCGCCATCACAGGCTATATGCCCCGGGAACTGTTCCACATCCTTTACCAGCTGAGTAGACTGTGACTCGGCGGCTGCGCCGCAGACACCCCGACCAAACGCAATCGTCTGGCATGCGACTTTGCCCTGAAAGGGACCAAGAATAAGCTGAGGCGTTGATGACGACAGGTCTCTCACATAAAATCCTAAGTGGGACGGAGATCAACGTGATATTCTTCGCAACAAAAGGTCATGAATTTGAAGTCCTACCAGCCCAATTGACTTCCTTGCTTGGGGCAGGCAAAGATTTGTAGGCATGCCACAGTAGTGAAGCGGCATTTGCGAGATTACTGTCGATACCATTCAGCAACTCGGCTATCAGAAATTCACGAAGGCAATCCAACGTACCAGACCTAAATCAAAAGCAATTCTTGTGAGTAATTAGATAGCAATTGGAACCGGAGACATGAGCTCTACGTGTGGGTTAACTTACCCAGTTGCGCTGGCCATGGAACAGGCCCTCGGCTTGAAGCAAAACCTGTTCGTATGCCTCCTCTTTCGTAACGCCTTCAACAAAATTGGATGCGTCTGCGTGAACCTACTCGTATAATTATCAGCGCCTTAAGAAACCCCAATGCACGGGAGATGCGTGGAATACCATGATGACGCTCCGATATGCTGGCTAGATGTGGCCTTGGTGTGATTTTGTGAAGACTTATCTCTGGACGATGCTGGCGAAATGCATCCACAATAGTAGGTGGAGGTAAGCAATTTTGAACAATGAATGGTTTAGCCTGATGGCGTCATCAAAAATATAGCCAGTTGAGCATTATGATTATTTTCTTAGGCAGTTTTTCTTCTTGAAATATATAACATACTTGCTACAATGCCAACTCTATTTCTGAATCGCGGTAGATCTATATTGATAGAAAACCGTGAGCTAGTATTGCGGTGCTTCCTCTTCAAAGAGCAGAATCATATCAACCTAGGACGTTTCTATGCCATTTAAGAGAGGTATCTGAGCTAAAGTACAGCATTATCCCAAATACAAACTCTAAGTATATGAACCTTTTATTCAAAATATCAACTGAGGGAACGATCAAATTTTACGAGCATGACACCTTTACGATATCAGGGTAATACTGTGTATCATCAAGGTGGTGTTTGTAAAGCTCCTTGTGGGTGTAGTGGGATGCTTATCGATAGGTAGCGATCGATAACATCGATCGTCAATTAAATTAAATCCTGGACACGGCACGTCTTCAAATACGCTTGATGGGATTGCCGTTTCCATGTCGCTACATGCAATCATGCTTTCGCGTTCTCAGTCGCGAATCATGAATCCGAGTGCAATTGCGCCATTACAGCATTACGTTCACAACAGCAGCAGACTCCTCGGAGTTCGGCCTTTCGCAAACTCGCCAGCTGTCAAAAATCTCCTCAATCAACTACCAACATCATCGCAAGGGCGGTATTCGAGCCACGATGCCAGATCTCGGAGGGCGCAGTTGACCAAGAAACCCGAGAATGCGAAATTGAATCCCCCCGCTCAGTGTCGGCCACCCCCCATCACCATTCCGATCCGAGAAGCATACGATCAAGCGATCCAATACTACTTTGCCCTGGGCAAGGCATACCTCTACTTTTTCAAGGATGGCTTCAAGAACGTCCTCGCGAACCGTCGGCTTCTCGCTGAAAGGCTAAAGGGCACTCCTAAAGAGGATCACCCCTCCGTCTTCAAGCCTCACCATGTGCCACGAACGTTTTCACGTGCAGATTGGGTCTTGTTCTGGCGCGTGCGCCATGATATGATCCGCCTACCTGCTTTTGGGCTTTTACTGCTAATCGCAGGGGAGATGTCGCCCTTCGTCATTCTCGTCCTCTCCGGCCTCGTACCGATACCGTGCCGCCCTCCTATGCTCACGTCGCGACATCTCGAGAAAGCCGAGACGAGGCGCAAGCTCGCATTTGAGCAATTCGAGGCCAGAGCCCCCGCCGGCGCCTTGACTGCCGGTCTCTCCAAGCATACAGCTCGAAACCATGTACTCCGAAGTCTTTACCTCTCCGGCGCACCCTGGGAGCACCTTAAATTCATGCCCCCCGGTATGTGGCTGACCAAAGGCTACTGGCGACTGGCGTTCCTCGAGGGCGATGACAAGAAATTGATTCAAGATGGCGGCATCACAGGCCTCATCAAGGAGGAGCTGCGGATTGCATGCATGGAGCGCGGCATCAATGTGCTTGGCAAGAGCGAGACAGACATGAAGGCTGCATTGGGCGACTGGCTACGACTCACTGCAGACGAGGATATCAATGAGCGACGAAAGAGGATGACGGTCCTTCTTTTGACTCGGTAGGCTTGAACCTTCTTTTAGCTCTGACTCTGTCTCCCTATCTTTATCTTCCATGCTAACAATGACAATTTAGACAAAGGAACTGGCCCCAGACGAGGAACTTTGCACTGCCTTCGTGGCATTTGTAATTCTATTTTTTTTTCTCATATATAATCATGTATACTAGGCTTTTTCCACCCCGGAAGGCGCTGGTTGGCACCGGTATAGACGGCTATGAGGTAAAATGCGTCATGCGCTCATGTATAAATAGTTAAGAATACACACAATCTCAGAGAATAGACAGATCGGATCGGCTTATAGAAAATAAAAGAATACGACTATAATTATATGCCCATTCCATACAGGGTCCGAGAGTACGTAGCCAGGCCATATAGTATGGCTCGTGGTTAATGGGTGAATGTGACCTGGACATCGACACCAAATTGATGGGTTCACTCTACATTAGGATGAACGTGCAGATGCAACACAAACCAAGAAATAGCCAGGGCAAACGTTTTTGTGCTGCTTGTCTGATAAAGGGGCTAATGCACGAGGCAAACGCGCCAATTTCTTACTCACTTGCTCGCGAACGTCACTATCAAGTGTTGAAGATCTCAGATGCCCCGGATGATAAATCTAGTCTATCTAGGCAATGAGATCGTATGGAGTACCGCACGAGAGTTTAGCCTACTGAGACGTCCCTCGGCTTGGAACCGACTTGACTTGATGTGGGGAAATTTGGAGACATTCCACATGATGTAACAAGAAGAAACCGCCGAGGCTCGCGTCACATGCATGTAGAAGTACCTCCCAAAATGGACCGTTCCATTGCGACCGTCTGTCGCATTTAACTAGGGTCCAATTCCTCCACGAACCCTCTACCAACAACTAACAACTACACTTTCTCAGCTTCTCTATCGCTCTATTTCACCGGTTATTTTCAATCTCTCACCACCTCCAATACCAGCTCCTAAAACCAAAATGGCTCTCAAGGACGGTAAGTAAACCAAAGCAGCTCCAGCTCGCAAACAGTACAACAGCAAAGCAGACGCTGACGAGCTCGCGCCGCACAGACAAGTTCCCAGCCTCCGAGGCCTTCGACATCATCAACGCAGCCCTGAACTCGAGCGACAGCGAGCGCAAGGACGCCATCAAGCAGGGCGGTGCCGTCTTTGCCTTCACCCTCAAGAACAAGGCCGGCGAGACCGCGAGCTGGAACATCGACCTCAAGGAGACCGGCAAGGTCAGCAGCGGCCTCGGCGAGAAGCCTACTGGTGAGTAAAGCATCCCGCTGTACTGCGGTTCTTCCCGTCGCCTCCGAAAGGATGAACCGCTACAACAATGTGCGAACCGTACGCTGACCCGCGGTGGGACAGTCACCCTCTCTCTCTCGGACGAGGACTTCGGCAAGCTGGTCAGCGGCAAGGCCAATGCCCAGCGCCTGTTCATGTCAGGAAAGCTCAAGGTCAAGGGCGATGTCATGAAGGCCACCAAGATGGAGCCCATCATGAAGAAGGCACAGACAAAGGCCAAGCTGTAAACGACACAATACTCATATTTACATACTATTATCCGATGTTTCGGGCCTGTCTATAGCGTTGCCTTATAGGATTAAATCAATGAAATACTTTGAAGATTATATCTACGTATTTATCGCATTGCGACATTGTGAACACTCGCGCTATTAGTTCACCTGTCTCGGCATTTCGCCATGTAATATCCGAATGCATGTTGAATGCATCAGCAAACGTCGATCAAATATCCCCATAAAATAGCTTGGACCTTTGTGAGATAATTGGGTTGTCGCGTGCGCTGCATCCTCATTGAAATTAGACAAGGAACGGGGGAAGACCTGAGCCTCGGCACGGGGAAGAGGGCTTTGAGCGTCCGATGCGACTCTCCAGGATCACGAACTCAATGGTGCAACTTCAGATAATCTGAGAAAAAATATGGCCTAATAAGGCATTAATGAACAAGGCAGATAAACTTGATCAAAATTGTTGAGGATTTCTCACCCAACAAGATACATACCCTGTTAGACTGTCAGAGGTATTTCATTCTCTGCCTCCAGACGATACCTGGTGCTATAACTGCTATCGTAAGTCTTCTCCGACCCCTGATATGTATTCCTTGTTCCTTGTTCCACAGTGCTCGCCGCGAGTTGCTTCCTAAAATGGTGTGATTAGGCTACATACCATGGATTGTGTCGATCATCCATAGCTCTTCATCCTCATCAACCAGTTAGACACCGTGGGCAGCCAGGAGCTCAGAGTCGGTTTCCTCAAAGCCAGACTAGCCTCTAAATATCAGTCATTAAAATGATGTCAAGTGAGAAGAAGATGTGAGCTCGCCAAAGCAGCAACTAAGGGATGCTCGACCCTGAGGCCTTCGTAACGCCGTATGAGCGATGAGCCCTGAACAAGCTGTCCAGAGAGGTACTAAGATCTAACAGAAAGTGCTTCTCTCCGTTGAGTCAGCCCGATAAAAGGTATTGGCAGGCCGCCGTATACCAGTCTTACGGTATAGTATAGGCAGCGACTCACATTTAGTTTCATTCCCAAGAGTGCTCTTGGCTTTTTTCCTAGGCTCCATGATTATAGAAACTCATTATATTCACGGGAGCTCAGTGCGGTTGTTTGGCCAAAGAAAGGAGACTCTCAGTTTCATGGACTCATTGAGATACCAGATCTCATAAATTGTCACCTGCCTCGCAACATAATCACGTTATGGTCCACCGTAAGGATGAGGCTGGGAAACTGGTTTCTATTCGGAGTTCATCTCTAAAACCCTTCTATATGACGATTACTCTGGTCAGAGAGCCAAATTGGATGTAAGTTTCCCAGGTCCCCATTGATGCGGTTTGCCGCAGACGAGGCGTGTATCTATTTTCTTTTTTTAATCCTAGAAGTTGTACTCGACAGCCGGGGGCTTGTTTTCCAGGATTTCGTCGATCTCTGCCTTAATTTCAGGCGTGATCTTCTCCACCGCGTCCAGAGCCCTGATGTTCTCATACACCTGTTCCGGACTGCTGGCGCCAGTGATGGCGGTGCTAACATTAGGGTTAGAAAGCACCCAAGCTAATGCTAAAGTCGCCAGCTTGATTCCAAGTTTCTCGGCAATGGGCTCCAGTCTGTTCACCCTCTCAATGATGGCATCCCATTTGTCCTTGGGGTTGTTCTTGTGGAACTTGGCAATAAAGTCCAGTTGTGTCTGCGCGAATCGTGATCCCTCGGGAATACCGTTCTTGTACTTGCCCGTGAGGATACCCTTCTGAAGGGGTGAGAAAACGGTAAGGCCAAGACCGGTCTCGCGGTACAGGTGTGCATACTCTCTTTCAACTTTCTGGCGCTCCAGCATGTTGTAGGCTGGCTGCTCCATGAGAGGGCCGATGAGGTTCAGCTTGTCTGCGTATCGCCAGGCCTGGGCGATTTCATCGGCGTTCCATTCCGAGGTGCCCCAGTACAGAGCCTTGCCCTTGTCGATGATGTGGTTAAAGGCACGGACGGTCTCCTCAATGGGAGTACGGCGATCGGGCCTGTGGGCGTAAATAAGGTCGACATACTCAAGCCCAAGACGCTTCAGAGAGGCGTCGGTACCCTCAACGATGTGCTTTCTGGACAGGCCCTTGTTGTTGACAATGTTATCGCCAAATGCGCCTCCCCAGTAGAGCTGGAAGAGATCGTGTCAGTTGTCGGTTCGCTCCCAATCACGACATAGACTGGGGAAACCCACCTTGGTGGAGATGACCAGATCATTACGCTTCCAGCCAAACTTCCTAATAGCCTCACCCATTACGACCTCAGATTCGCCGGCAGAATAAACCTCAGCACAGTCAAAGAAGTTCACTCCGGCATCATAGGCAGCCTTCATGCACTTGAAAGTGCCCTCTGATCGTTTCAGTCAGCAATGGATCATTCTCCATGTTCTAACAGAGAAGAGAATATACCTCTGTCTACATGGCCGCCATAAGTCAACCATCCTCCAAGTGAAATGGACGAAACCTGAAGACCAGAGCGGCCCAGGAATCGATAAGTCATTGGCGGAACATCATCTGGCTTAGACATTGTGCCTGGTGTTTCGTGGTTCCAATGGTATGGGTGGAGGATAGGTGTGTTCTAAGGCTGGTCTATTTGGAAGAAGGAAAAGGATGATAAGTAAAAGAACCAGAAAAGATACATTGGTCGTAAGAAGCGATCTTCATATAATTACCTCATGAACCTGCCATTCCCAGTGGATCGGCCGACAGCCGATATCGTCAATGTAAGTGAGGGGGGATCAGGCATGATTGCTAAGCAGTGACAGCCCTATTGAGCCCGTTGATTGGGAAACACAATAGCTAACAAGTAGCCTGTGCTACCATTTTATGGGCGTTGACATATAGCTTAATAGAAGAACCCGCATATAGCACGCAATACGGTTGTTTGGCTGTTAACAAAGTACTAGCACAAGTGTGGGCAAACAATACCCCGTCTTTGGCTTCCATTGAACGTAGAAATTCCTATGAGTACTCAGAATGGGGATATTTGCGGCAACGCGAGAGACGATATTCTATGAAAACTAGGAGATACACCAATAACCAAAGAATGGGAACATTCTGTCGCGGGTTATTATCCTCGAAGTAGGTCAGTGATGCTGATGGAAACAATTGACAAAGTCCAGGTTAGCGAAGTATGAGGTGGGGGAGCTCTCCGACCGCGTGACTCATCAACTGGGGCAGCTCCCTTCGTGGGGATCAACCGGGGAAGACAATACTACTTGATTAAAAGAAAAGCCCTCAATTGATATTTCTACCTATGCGGATTCGATGTTATCTACTTAGATGGAAACATAAAGGCCTGCAAGAGCATTGTCTGAACTTGATCTGATTGGAGGAATTGGCACACCTTGACAACAAAGGGCCCCTGCCAAAACCGGTAATGTCTCCAATGAGATTCTTGCTGTGCCAATTGACGGCAGTGGGTATTGGGAATAGTTTACAATTAGTAAATAAGGAAAATGAGCAGAATCAGTAGGAAAATCAGTTGTAGAATGTGGTACGTATGGGTTGCTGGTGACTTAAAAGGAGTTCTTTAGATGTCTTGACAATCCAAGTCTCGAGTCGTGGCTTGTCTCGGCCAAAACTTTGTCAAGAGACTGTGTCCCAGACAATGGCCGAGCGGAGAGAAGCAATGTGCAAATGCATGAGTTGGCCCCATTGACCTGCTTGCCTGTTCATTGGCTCGGTCCTACCCGCAGGAATTTTCCTGGTTCAAGCAGGTCCCTGGCTTTCAGCATTCCTCAGGCTCACCGTTGCTAGAGCAGCAAGCATACTAAGTCTGTGGCATCAAATACGGCTCCTCCAGAGTCCTTGGAATGGATGGATTGTTGATTGAACTAAAGGGGCTTGGTAATATATAGAGGAGTTTTGGGGAAGGTCTTTGGTCCTTCATGGATACCCCGAGATATCATTGAATTCATGATCTTGGATCATAGATCATTCTGTGCATGAAGAGAACTGAGGATGGATCTGGAAGAATCAGGCTGGGGGTTACTAGCCTGCAACAAGCTTAGCGGTGACCTCGTCTAGGCACACAAGACCAGTGCAGCAGACGGGTATCGACGCTAGGCGGTCCAGGCGACGGCCGACCTTCCTGAGTGAGCAAGGGACTACAAAGGTAGGTGTGGTTTCGGAGAAATGAGACATCCAATAGAAGGTGGTTATGAACAGACCACTTTCTACGATGGATAGAAGAGTATAAAGAAGCAACAATATACGCTGGTTTATCTCTCAAGCATGTATTATTGGCGCTCAATAATCTCACAATACCGGCCGCAGACTGGAAAATACCTTAACTACATAGCTTAATGTTTGAGTGTCTGAATTTCAACGCCACCCACTTGGGTAGGTCGGCAGAGAGTCATGTCCGGGTGCGAGTCGAGAAGTGTTCGGGTGCCGGCGTGATGGGTAGTAATTAGCTGTCAAAAAGACGGCTAATGAACGTTTGCAACTGGCCCGGGCAGATCTTGGGTTTAAGATGATCATTTCATCATGTTCAATGCAAACACCAGGAAGCCCAGGTCTTGAAAGACCAGAGCACCCCAGCAGCCAAGCCCGGTGTGATTGGCTGGACGCGCGCAGCAAGAAGCACTGGAAGGCCGCTAATATTGGGCGGGGCGGCAGCATCTTTTGCACGAATAGTGCCATCCCCCCCCTCGTACCTGCGCCGTCAACTAATAACAGGCGCCAAGCAAATGAGCAGGGCATGACCCAGGCTCTAGATGTCGAACTTTTCCACTTCCATTCCAAGCTGGTCCCCCGGAGAACCCCTAACAGCGTATTAGACTTGCGGTACTGCAATTCACCTCACCGCACGGACTGGCCGCTCGGAGTCCATTGTACGGCGGACCAGTAGATTTTCGAGCCCACAGGTCATCCCCCTTGATGAGTGCGCGTATGCAGGTTGATGATCTTGTCTTGCAGGTTGCCACTCGCCGCTAGATAGTGCGGTTTGTCGGAGCTCCTCATGCTCCATAGCGTTGCTAGGCGTTGTTGGCCGCCGGCTGCAGCCCGTCCCAGATCAGTGAAAGCGGCCTCGGACCCCTGTTCCTGGCCTACCTCCAATCCAGTAGGCGGTCTGGGGGAGGTACCTATTGAGGTACCTCCTGACAGGTGCTGCATTGGCAGACATCTCAGGCGGGCCTCGCAAGCGACCTAGCTTCGGCGCTGGCATTGGCCGCTGGCACCCTGTACTGCCGCCACGCTTGCCTGTCTGTGCCTGGCCACCTAGCCTGGTACTCACTCTCCGCCAACCAGGGCACTGTTTGATTGCCCGTTGGCACCTACCCACCTCAGGCAATAGCAGCGCCCGTGCCTGCCCTTCTCTCCCCTTTCCCTTTTCCTCCAGCCCAAGCCATTTTCTCAACCTTCTCTTCCCTTTATTCAACCTCTTTCTCTCGACCTCCCCAATCCAACACAACCGCCTGGTTTGCTCCTGTCGACAACACCACAACTGGGAGGCTTCGTCACGGCCCTTCCCAGCCCCGACTGGACGAGCATCCCGAATAGCACCATCTTGCCGACCGCGATAATACCACAAGGAGTCGAATACCGAGTACACAGCAGTTGGCCATTCTCTCTTTTTTAATCACAAAGGCAAGTACGGCGCGCCTCCCATTTGGTATCCCATTTCCTACACCTTCACCGCCTGCTGGGCAGCAAGGCTTGGCCTGCACAGCCTTCTACTTCGCACCTGTCCACTGTGCTGCGACCCAATGGAGCCCCTAACCGCTGAGGCCGTGTCGTGTGCGAGGTACACTTCCATATCCTCAATGGCACCCAAGGACGCCCTGGACCCGGAATTGGTCAGACCAATGTTGGGTTGACAGCCAACACATCTCCACTGGCCTCCCCAGGGTTCTACTGGTTTTTCGGCGTGGTGGCTCCAACTATTTGCCGCATCAGCAGATCAGTGGTCCATGCAAACAGGCCAGGATCTACAAGCTGGGCTATGCCCAGCCTAGCGAGACATTCTTTTCCATCAATCATCCGAGTCTGCACCACTTGCAATTTTTTCTTCATCGTTTAAATCTTCGTGTGACACCGGCACTAACATTTTGATAACAGTTTTATCTTTTTTAATTGTCACCATTCCTTGGACTCGAGTCATCGCAAGTGTTCGAGTTCTTGTACATCACGATCCTCCGACGCCCAACGCGACCGTAACCGAACAATCAATACCCCTTTTCCCACCTTCCACAATCAAATGGTTAACTATTGATCCATCAACCAATTACCATGGCATCCTCATCGTCGAACGTCGTTGGCGTTCACTACCGTGTCGGAAAGAAGATCGGAGAGGGATCTTTTGGTGTGATTTTCGAAGGCACCAATCTGCTCAACAACCAGCAGGTCGCCATCAAATTTGTTTGTTCTGCCTACTGCCATCAGTTCCATTCGACGTGCTAACTAGATCAACCAGGAACCCCGAAAGAGTGATGCACCTCAACTCCGAGATGAATATAGAACTTACAAGATCCTCGTTGGATGCCGTAAGTTTATCACTTAATTGTATGACTGGTTACAGGTACTAACGATACTAGCCGGCATTCCTAACGTCTACTATTTTGGACAGGAGGGTCTCCACAACATCCTCGTTATCGATCTCCTCGGTCCCTCTCTCGAAGACCTCTTTGATCACTGCGGTCGAAGGTTCTCCATCAAGACAGTTGTGATGGTTGCGAAGCAGATGCTTTCGAGGGTACAGACAATCCACGAGAAGCATCTCATCTATCGTGATATCAAACCAGACAACTTCCTCATTGGTCGCCCTGGAACCAAAGCCTCCAATGTTATTCACGTCGTCGATTTCGGCATGGCAAAGCAATATCGTGACCCCAAGACGAAGCAACATATCCCATACCGCGAGCGCAAGTCGCTATCAGGCACTGCTCGTTATATGAGCATCAACACACATCTGGGCCGAGAGCAGTCGCGAAGGGATGATCTCGAGGCTTTAGGACATGTGTTCATGTATTTCCTGCGCGGCGGATTGCCCTGGCAAGGTCTGAAAGCTGCTACGAACAAGCAGAAATACGAGAAGATCGGAGAGAAGAAGCAGACCACTGTTATCAAGGATCTTTGCGAGGGATTCCCCGAGGAGTTCTCTAAGTATCTTACTTATGTACGAAACTTGGGATTCGAAGATACGCCCGATTATGACTATCTCCGGGAGTTGTTTACTCAGGCTCTCAAGAACACCGGTGAGGTTGAGGACGGTGAATACGACTGGATGAAGATCTCTAAGGATTCGGGAAAGGGCTGGGACAGCAAGAGCCACAACAATGCCTATCACCCAAACCGCCTGGGTCCCTCTCAGGTAGAGCTCCACAGCGGGAGTCGCCAGGCGAATATGAGCTCTCACCAAACACCCCAGAACTTGACAGTGCACCGTTTAAACGCCGCGCAACCCCCCACTCCACAGAGCAAACCGAACAAACAGCAGAGAGATCGAACAAACGCCCCAGGCGCATTGTCGGCTCCGCGAAACAGCGGGGTGGGGGGTGGCCGGGACATGCCTACTCCGGC